TCTTAAAAAAAATAAGTAAAATCTTGGGGCGCCTGGGTGGCTCAGTGGGTTAAAGCCTCTGCCTTCAGCTCAGGTCATGATCCCAGGGTCCTGGGATCGAGCCCCGCATCGGGCTCTCTGCTTGGCCGGGAGCCTGCTTCCCTTCCTCTCTCTCTGCCTGTCTCTCTGCCTGTCTCTCTGCCTACTTGTGATCTCTGTCAAATAAATAAATAAAATTTAAAAAAAAATAAGTAAAATCTTTGTCAAGTAAGTCCAACTGGGCTTTCTCACAGATTTTTTTTTTTAAAGATTTTATTTATTTATTTGACAGACAGAGATCACAAGTAGGCAGAGCGGCAGGCAGAGAGAGAGGAGGAAGCAGGCTCCCCGCTGAGCAGAGAGCCCGACATGGGGCTCTATCCCAGGACCCCGGGATCACGACCCAAGCCGAAGGCAGAGGCTTTAACCCACTGAGCCACCCAGGTGCCCTCACAGATGGTTTTTATTGACTGTTTTTTTCCCACTTTTTCATTGTTATACTTTCTTATATCTCTCTGTGTCTCATATTTTTTTGTTGTTGTTGTTAAACACTGGACATTTAAAATACTCTAATGTGGCTACTCTGGAAATTAGATATCCATCCTCCTTTCCAGGATTTGCTGTTGCTGTTTGTTATTATTGTTGCTCTTTGTTTGCTCTGGGGTTTTCCTGGACTAATTCTCCAAAGTGTGTACTCTTTGTCATGCGCAGCTTCTGAATTCTCTCTTGGTTAGCTTAATAGTCAGCTGAGACAGAGGTGTCCTTTAATACCTCGATTCGGTACATCTCCTGTTCTGTGCCAAGGGGTTCGCTGTGTGTGTTGAAGCACAACTTCAGTGCTCTGCCAGGTTATAACTCTGCCTTTGCCTTCACTTCCTATTTGAGCAGGGCCTCAAGGTCACCCAGAAGTGAGATACTAGGGCTCTCTCAGGTCTTTTGTGGATGTGTACACAGCCTTGCACACGCATGTGCCTTCTAGATTCCCAGGAATGTGCTGGAGCATTTCGAGGCCCCTCTGGATGGCTCATCCTCTAGATTTTAAGTGTTTGTGCCGGCTTCTTCCTTATTCTAACTAGTGCTGCTACCTTAGACAACTGCAGTGTTAAACAATTGCTGCTGATTGTTTTTGGCAAACACTCCGACAGAGCTTTTCCCCATGAGTGAGTTCCACATCAGGTCAGATAAAGACAAGTGCTATGTATGGGCTTTTCCTGGAAGCTGACAGCGACAATTCTCTGGGAATGAGAAGTTATGGACCTTCAAATTGTTTTGCTTTTTTTCTGTGGCCACTACTTGTCACAGGCACTGTGGTTGTGGGATTGATAGTTTTTAAGGCTACCATGGTGCTGGGAAATAGGCAAGTTAAAATGCTACAAACTTCACTGTTCTTAGCAAGATATTTGTCCTGAATAAACACTTCTTGGGTTGTTACCAGACATTAATTTCCAGAGTTCTGAAAAGGTCAATTTTTACTTCTGGTGTTCTTGCTGCTTTTTATGCAGATTTTCAGGGGTCCTTACTCTATCATTCCAGAAGTGATTCTTCCACTGGAAGAAGAAACCTTTTATTTTTATTAATTTATTTTTAAAGATTTTATTTATTTGACAGAGAGAGATCACAAGTAGGCAGAGAGGCAGGCAGAGTGAGGGGGGTGGAGCAGGCTCACTGCCAAGCAGAGAGCCCAATGTGGGGCTCTATCCCAGGACCCTGGGATCATGACCTGAGCCAAAGGCAGAAGCTTTAACCTACTGAACCACCAGGCACCCCAAAGAAATCTTTTAGAAAGGGTTTCTTGGGGTCAGGGTAGATTAAGAACCCCAGCATGACATGGCAAGGCAGACCTGCATGATTGTAGTAGAGCTGATATGTAGCTATCCTTTCCAGTCCTACTTCCTTTTTTTTTTTCCTAAAGAATTTATTTATTTATTTGATAGAGACACAGTGAGAGAGGGAACACAAGCAGGGAGAATGGGAGATGGAGAAGCAGGCCTCCTGCCGAGCAGGGAGCCAGATATGGGGCTTCATCCCAGGACTCTGGGATCATGACCTGAGCCAAAGGCAGACACTTAACGACTGAACCACACAGGCGCCCCTAAGTTCTAGTTCTTTTTAAATCCCAGAAACTTCTGGAACTCTGAGATCTAAGAACCGCCCTGCCCCCACCCCCTCCACGGGCCAGGGCAGGAAGTGAATTGCATTCCCTGGCCAAGTCATCTCCATAGACCACTGAACAAATGAAGAGAACATTGTTGTATGAATCAGAACACAAAGTATTAATGATTATCTTCTTACAGTCATTTGCGAACTATATGGCTCCTGTTCTAGAATTTTTCAATGGGACTCACCGAACTGTTTCCCACCCTCAGAGCCCTAGATTCCTGGAGAATGCACATGGAGCAATTAAATGTCCGTAAATCCAAATGCAAAGGATGCATCGTTAGCAGAATAAATAAATCTCTTCTGCACACAGACATGCTTTCAAATGCATACTGCCACTAATAAATACACAAATCTATTTAAAGCAACAGCAATGACGTTAGGACCCTAGCACTGAGACAGCAGGTCTAAAGCTGACAGCTGCAAAGATGGGGTGAGCGCCTCCATTTGTCTCCGCAGGTGTAGCATGGACACCAGCCAAGCAGCTTTCGATGCCTTTGTCCTCGTGTCTTCCAGTCTCCTAACCCTTTATCCATCCTGGCCCACCAGTCTCTTTTTCTCGATTCCTACTCCCTTTCCTCCCTCTTTCCTGTCAATCAGCATTTACCGACCATCTCCTGAGTGCCTAGGGGTCCAGTTCTGGCTCTGAGGAGCCCCCACTTTGGTGGAGAAGGACAAGTGTGCAGAGCAGACCCTCTCCCTCCTGCAACCAGATACAGAAATGCTGGCACAGAGGGAAGTAATCTGGGGGAGGGGGAACTGGGGAGAATGGAGGGTCCTGGGGAAAGGCGGGTCTGGATTTAAAAAGGATCCTGCCCAAGGTTCCTAGAAAGTGGACCCGAGTGCAAAAGTAGTATTGAGCTTCTCGGGCTGTGAAGTGGGGGAGATGAGAAATCCATTCCATTATGATGGGGCTATGCATAAACACCGCAGGGCTCAGGAGCTGTTTTCCAGGCAAAGAACCCCAGGGACAGGGTGAGTTCAGTCTGCAGGTCTGGGGCTGCGGCAGCAGCAGGGAAAGGCATCTTGGCCGGATACCGGCCCACCAGACAAAAAAGAGCCTTTCTCCCAGGGATGCAGGAAAAGGCCTGGTTTGTGCAAGGGAAGGCGCCAAAGCCAGGATGTGCATGTACGCGAAACTATCTGGAAATAAACAGGGGGCCTCCCCACCCGCCAAAGCTAATCCGAGAGGGACATCTGCTCTGTGTGGCTTGCACCATTCCCCTACAGGCAGAGAATCAGGAACCCCGGGTGAGAAAGGGCAGTGAAAGGAGGAGGGGCCGCCCACCCCTTGTCCAGCAGCTGACCTCACACGAGACACTCATCCCCTGGGAGCCTCAGTTTCCTTATCTGCAAAATGGGGGGATGATAACATATTTTTATCTTTTGCAGAGCTCTGTGAGGGTCACATGAGATGAAGGACTTGGAAAGACCCAGTCCAGAGCCCAGTAAATCCTTGTCTTCCTGTGACTTTTAGACTGTTTTCAAGTGAAGGCCGAATTCTAAATGCTCTTTTGAGGAAGCTGAGTAATATTACACTTTATCCTAAAAAAAAAGTCACTAAATATTCCTCATTTCCTTCCAAAAAGGACATCAGAAGCTTACAATAAAATGCAATGAGACCTTTTACAAGGGGAGAAAGGAGAACGGAGTGATGGAGTGTGTTTTTGGAAAGCCGGCAGTGCGTGTGTTGCTGGGGGCGGGGGGTTGATTACACACAAAACCCAGAGTTAAGGAAAGTCCCAGCAATCAAACACAAAACAGACTTCAGCTCTGGAAGTCAAAGCAAGCAGAGATCCATGAAGGGCGTTTCCTGGCAGTGAACTCTAGGGGGTTTATCTGGAAGTCCTCTGTATAAGGAATTAGATAAAGCAAGCCCACAGTGGTTACCGGGGCAGGAAGCCTGCACCCAGGGCCTAGGAGAAGACTCTGAGGCACAGGCAGAAGGGCCCCCATTTCTCCCTGGGGTGCAATCTGCCTGGGGTCCTGGTGAAGGTGCTTAGGGGCTGAGCATGTGTGCGTTCATTCCTTCCCTGTTCTGTGCACCTGCCTTCCCTGAGCCTGCCGTGTGCCAGGCTCTGAAGACTCGGGTGACGGCCCCAGCCAGCCAGGTCCAAGAAGGCTTTCTCTATCTAGCTGGAAGGACAGAGGGTGATGAACTTGGGCCAAGAGTCCAGGTGGGGTGAGGCTGGAGGTGGGGGCATGGTGGGAGGAGAGGGGAGAGTCCTGAGAGGCGGTGTTGGCATGGACAGAAGGGGGCATGTGTCCAAGGCATACTGAGTGGGAGACTGACTGAGACTCGGTGTAGGAATGGGGAAGGGAGGGGCAGAGGATGCTGGCCCAGGCTCTGCACAGGGAAACAGTGGCCAGAGGTCTCCCTGAGACGACAGGGAGCCAGAGGACAGCCTGTGTCGGTGGTGGGGGGCAGCGAGTAGAGGTGAGCCTGCGGGTTGCGTGGAAGGGAGGTGGAGGAGTCAGGGAAGGACAGTCCAGGTCTGGGGAGGGCAGGGGACGTACCCAGGAGGGCCATCAGCAGCCCTCACAATGGCAAGAGGACATTTCAGGAGCTGACAGTGACCTTCAGAGAGTGGCCAAGGGGACAGGGGGACCGTCCCTGGAACCGTGGATGCCAAGAAGCCGAGGAAAGCAGTCCTGGACCCACGCGTGGGGGGACAGCGGCCGGCTGGAAGGGAGAGGAAGGCCAGGCCCCAGGTCTGAGCATCCGAGTTTTGGGGCAGGGCGGGCACTGGCACCTCCCACCAGATCTCAGGTCAAGGGCAGACCTCCAGGCCTGGGTTTGGAAACCACGAAAACTGGGGACTCACCCGGGTCGCCTCTTCTTCCAGCCTTGCCGCGCCGTCCAGGAGGGCCTGGGCAGGAGAAGAAGGACAGACCGATTGAGAAGGGAAGCCAGCAGGCTTGGTGCCCGCCCCACACCGGCACCCCAGGGCACAGCCCACTCACTGCCCTGGCACCGGTGTCCTCCCCCTCCCTCGCCATCCAGCCTTCAGTCTTTCACGAGTCACTCCCCACTCCCAGAGACGGGCTCCCTGGAAATCCACGGGCAGGAGAGTTGGCCGCTGAGAAACTGGATCTGGGAGAAGCATAAAACCGAGGCTGGAAGCCCTTTTATGCAAATCCTGATGAACACTTTCTAATATTTCCCAAGGTAACACACTAGAGACGACACACCACATAGAGACACTACTGTGGCCTTCCAAATGCCTGAACTCGGCAATGGCAGGCGCTGCCCTGTCCACTGCCTATCCCCCTTCCACCCGCTAGAACCTTCCGCACCCCCTCCCCCACAGCCTGGGGGAGCTGCTCATGAATTTCTCCTGACTGATTGCACTTAAGGTCCACACCAACGTGCGGCATCTTCCGTCCACAGCCTTGGAAGCCTTCCGGAATTTGTGATGTGAGCCATCCTGCCTCCACCTTCTCCCCGCTCTGCCCAGTTGAGTCCCCAGACCCAGCTACCTTGATGCTGAAGGAGGAGAATGCTGACCAGTCCCCAGCCCTGAGTCAGGGGATGTTTTCTCAGGTGCTGAGGGAAAAGGTATGCAGAAGTGAAGGTGTCCATACTAGGCTGCTGTTTGAGATGCATGTGTCCCCTCCCCCTCTGTGGTGCCCATCCATGGCTTGCTGCCCAGGAGGGGCCCAGAGGCCAGAGATCCACAGGTTCAGACGGTATTATAAGGAACTGCTCTTTCCTATATAAGTCAACCTTAACTTCCCTCCTCAACCCCCACAACAACCACAGGGGAGAGGCAGAGGCTGGCCACGAATCAGGTCTGGGGCAGGATGGTTTACTAAAAAATTCACATGGACGCCTGGGGGGCTCAGTCGGTTAAGCGTCTGCCTTCAGCTCAGGTCATGATCGTGGGGTCCTGGGATAGAGCCCTGCGCCAGGCTCCCTGCTTAGTGGGGAGCCTGCTTCTTCCTCTCACCCTCCCTCTCTCAAACAAATAAATACACTTTTTAAAAAATTTTTTAAAAGAGTTTATTTATTTATCTGACAGAGGGATCACAAGTAGGCAGATAGGCAGGTGGCGGGGGGAAGCAGGCTCCCTGCCAAGCAGAGAGCCCCATGCGGGGCTCGATTCCAGGACCCTGAGATCATGACCTGAGCCAAAGGCAGAGGTTTTAACCCACTGAGCCACCCAGGCGCCCCTAAACTCTTTAAAAATTTTTTTAAAAATTCAGGTGTATGAATCTTCCTTCCTTCCTTCCTCCTGGTTCCAAGTGGGCAGTCCACTGTGCGCCCCAGCCCAGGGATCGGCGCGTGGCAGGAAAGCAGAAGCAGCCCTGGGTCAGTAGCACTTCTAGAAGAAGGGAGGGTCTTTAAGGAAGAGAGAGAAAGAAGAAAGACTCCTCTGGATGTGGAGGGGGGGGTCCTTCCTGGCATGTTACACCCTAAAACCTCTGCAGGTGCCTGGGGTAGATCATACATATGGACCACGTTTTCCTCATCCATTCATCTCGTCGGGTGATGGATGCTTGCATTGTCTACTATGAATAGTGCTGGGATGAACACAGGTGTGCACCTTCTCAAGACCCTATTTCCAATGCTTCTGGATATATACCTACAAGCAGGATTGCTGGGTCACACAGTAATCCCATTTTTAATTTTTGGAGGAAGCTCCATATTGTTTCCTCTGCTGACAACACCATTTGACATTCCCACCAACAAAGCCTTCAATTCCTCCCTGACGCTTGGATTTTTAGTTTGTTCTGGTTTTTTGTTTGTTTGCATTGTTTTGTTTTTTGGTCTTGGCTGCCCTCAGAGGTATGACGTGATACTGCATTATGGTTTTAATTTGTCCTTCCTTAGTAATTAGCGATGTTGAGCATCTCTTCATATGCCTGTTGGCCATCTGTATGTGTGTATCTTCTCTGGAGAAGTGTCTAGTCATTGCCTATTTTGTAGTTGGACTTCTGTTGTTGAGCTGTCAGAGTTCCACATTCTGGGTATTAACTCCTTATCAGACACGTGGTTTGCAAGTATCATCTCCCATGCTGTAAGTTGCCTAGGCATTCTGTTGATGGTTTCCTTGCTGCCTGGGAGTTTTTAACTTTGATGTAGTCCAATTTGCCTATTTTCGCTTTTGTTGCTTTTTTAAACTTTTGAGTTGATTTTTGTCTATGGTGTGAGGTAAGGGCCCCGTGTCATTCTTTTGCATGTGGATATTCAGTTTCCCCAACACCTTCTGTTGAGGGGACTGTCTTTTCCCCATTGGATAGTCTTGGTGCCTCTGCTGAAGGTCATTTGACCATATCAGTGAAGCAGACCTGAGTTTTGAGCGCAGAAATTCCTGCCAGTCACATGGTCCTCATAGTTCCTCAATACCAGACACAAACCTTGAGTCTTGAGCTGGAATTGCCCATGGGCTTTGTTGACTTGGCATGGCCGAGATTCTGGCACTCTCTGAACAGACAACAGCTCTTCACCCTGGTGAGGGATTTGTAGCTTATGAGCATGTCCAGGTCCATGACCTCAGGTGAGCCCACGCTCCTCGGTCACCTGCCAACTTAACATCTCCATGTGGATCTCACCAACATCTCAGGCCCATTGTGGCCAAAACATACATCTTGGTCTCCTCCCTAGTTCCTGGATGCAGCTGGCCTGGTCTTAGGCCCTTTCTCCTCTCTGGACACATCTGTTTTCAGGGAGAGCGAGGGTGTGGGAATGGAAACCCCACTTGCACACACAGCATCATGTTTCTCTGCCTGTAGGAGGGAAAAGGCCCACTTTCACTCACAAGGCCTGGGGTGCTGGTCACTCACTGCCTTCCGGGCTTTCACCAGGCCGCAGAAGCTCATGCTCGGCTCACCAAGGCTGCCTGCCTTGGGTCTCAGGGACACAGCAGGAAAGGGGCCCGCAACTGGGACAGTAAGCCAGTCTGAAAGCTAAAGCCCACTACAGTTTCCTGCTGGTCATTACTGGGTACGACTATAAAATTCTCTGTCCGCGTAACTCAAGCCAGATGAAGACATTTGCCTTCGCTGAGGCAGCTGAACAAATGGATTTGTCTGGTGGTTTGCCTGGGTGGCATGGTTAGGCAGAGGGCCCGACGAGGAGGGGTGATCACAGGCCAGCAGCTTCGCAGGCAGGGTGCAGTGCCCCGCCTCCCAGAGCCTTTGGGGAAGTTCCCAGCAGGCCTGGAGTGGGGCAGGGCCTGGGAATCCCCAGGCATCCAGGGCCTGTGGGGCTGCAGGCCTAGCACGCCAGACAGTACTCCCAACTGAAAGGGTCTAGGTCGAGAAGGAGAATGAGCCTGATGCTCATTCCAGGCTCTCCCGGGCCAACCCAAACCTGATACCAGAGGACTCCGTGTGAACAACTCACAAACTGACAACTGGTCAACCCTTTGTCCAAATGGGCAAAAGCAGGCCCCTGGCCCCGGTTTGCCCTATAACTTTCTCCTTGCTGTCTTTCCTCTTTCCCTTCCCTTCTCCAGTGGGAAAACCTCTCCCACTGCCAGCACACACTCAGACATTCAGGCTGCCTGGGAGGCATCTGGGAGTCAGTCTTGATTGTCCTGCTATGTACAGATGGGAAAACTGAGGCTTTGAGGGGGAGGACAAGTCTTGCCCAAGGATGCTGTTGGGAAAACGGTTCCAGCTGGAAAATCTGCACATGATGAAGCCCAGATGGTGCCGTTCTCTTGGGACCCACAGAGCTGTAGGGACCGCAGCTGTCATAGGGGCATCTGTGAGGTATCCCTCCAGAAGCTGTGGGCAACAGACACCAACCTGAGGACAGGAAAGACATGACTGATATGGAAGCTGTTTACCTGGGGCAGATTACTCAACCTCTCTGGGACTTAGGTTCCTGACCCATGTGGATGGAATTTTAGGGGTGACGGAATGACAGCCGCTGTGCCAAAATATTATATCGAAAAGCTGGAAGCATACGTAACAGAGTGGGGGCAGAGAAGTGGTGCCTATGTGGGGTCCCAACAAGTCACAGGCTGGACGGGTCTTTGGAACATGGAGCCCTGCTGTCAATGGGCTCTTGTGTGTTCCCCAGAGCGGGTAAAGCCTGAGACACAGGAGCTGCAGGCCAGTGACTTTGTGGGCAGGGTCTGAGTGCCGATGCAAGGCCAGCTGGGGGATTTTCCGTGTCCCTACTCACAGACCGTCTGGGAACCTGGGGACCAGGAGGCAGGGCTTGTATGGCCTGGGGATGGGGTTTCTCAATGAAATCCCGGAACCTGGGCTCCAGCTTGCAGCAAAATGACTTTGGATGCCTGCGATGACCATCTGCCCAGTAAGTAACCACAGAGGATGATGGTTTTCTCAAGCACCGTTCAAAGCCAGACAATATGGAACCATTTGTAGCCCATTAACATCTCGTCTCTGGTTGGGCTGGGGAACTCACACGCAATGACCAGATCCAACATGGGTCCCGCACCTGGACAGGCTCTTTATGGAGGTCTGAAGCCTGAGGAGGTGGTTCTCAATCTGGTGGCCTCTTGAGCGTCCCTGGCCCCAACCTCCTCTAGGACTTCCCCTCTAGCAACGTCAGCTGTAATAAACGGCCTGGACATGTTGGGGGCAGCTGCCTGGGCCCCCGTGTTCCTCAGGTCACCCAGTCCTTGGCCCCTCCCACGCTCCTCCTAGGGCAGAGGCTTTGGTGCAATTCATCTTACTGAGTCTCTACACAGTTCTAGAAAGTGCTTTAATCCCTTCTCACTCTCTTCTCCTTCTCGACTGGGGAAAAGGAGGCTCAGAGTCGTCAAGAAATGTTGCCAGAGGCAACAACCAAAAGGCAGAAAAACCCAAATGTCCACAGATGGGTGAAGAGAGGAAGAAAATATGCTGTGTACACACAACGGAATATTATTCAGCCTTAGAAAAAGAAGGG